GGAATAGCCAGAGGCGATCTACGCGGCTACAGTCTCAACAAAACGATGATGTATTCGGTATGTTGGAGGACGAAGTTACTGAAAACTCTTCAATACTTGGAAAAGTACATAAAATTCTTAATGAATTTAAAAAAGTACATATTGAAAGAAAGTTGTCAATGCTTGGAGGAACCAAAGCGAAGTTACCATGTGCAACAAGATGGTGCAGTGAGCGTGATGGACTTTTTTGGTTGATAAACAACATTTCCAAAATGAAGCAAATATCTGCAGAAACTAACACTGATGGAAAACCCTTGGTCAAATCCTATATAAGTGAGTTGCTCTATAAGGAGGACTTTATTCAATCCGTTAAGGAACTATTTGATCTTTTGAATCCTGTAGCTTTACTTATAAAAAACTGTCAAAAGTCTGAGTATTCTATAGCTGATGCAACAGAAGAATGGATAAAATTGCTTACTACGGCAAAACCAGAATTATATGAAGTGGCGGCAGAAAGATGTAGAATCAGTAAAGTCTTTAATAAATATAACCTCGCAGCAAATGTTTTGCATCCGCTATATAAGGGTGGAAGGCTGAACCCAGAGCAAATGCAAAAAGTTGAAGACTTTTTACTGGAAAATCTTGATGAACATGGATTACAATCATTTTCAGAATACAAAAATGCGGCAGGATTTTTTGCCTTACTTTTGGAAAAAACATCCAAACCTGGGCTATTCTGGGAATTGGCTGCAAATAGACACAAATCATTAGCGACATTTGCACAAAAATTGCTCATGATACCAGCTTCAACAGCTCAGCTGGAGGGTATTTTTTCAAATTGGACACATGTTCATACCGATTTGAGGAACAGATTAGACTCAGAACGTTCTAAGAAATTGTTAGAAGTTTATTTTTCTTTAAGAATAAATGAAACAAAAGACGTCTCGCAGTATATAGAGGATACTGATTCCAGCGAAAACGAAAATTAAACGAAACAAATTACAAAATAATTTGTAATAACAGTATGTACCTGCTTAGAGGCCTTTGATTTTAAATGTAATTTAAATGAATTATTTAAGTTTGTTATGTTTTTGTATTTCCTGTTTAATAAAACAAATATTTTAAAGAAAAACTGAATTGGATTTTAAGAGACAAATGTGTTTTTTATTTCTTTCCTATTTTTGTCAAAAACCTTGTTTTATCGGGTAGGTTTACGACTTTTCCGACGTATGTAATATACGTCGGAAATGTATGTCAGATACGTCATAATTTCCGACGGGCCATCTATGACGAAGTGTGTCAGTAGCCATAAATAACTAAGGGATAAAATACTATTTTTAAACGCTTGGCGAATATATTTGCAATTATCCTGCTTTAAGGTAGTCGGAAATCTTCCACTTACATATCCGTCGTGTTTGGCTTTGATCGATTCGTTCACACGGATAATTTGATCAACATGTAAATCGGATGTAATTCGCAACATGTCATTGTAATTCGAAAATTCCATTTGTAATTCGATACCTTACATCTGAAACTTGAATTATTTCATTTGTTATTAGAATACGTTTGTTCTTAATTCGAAATATTCAATTTTAAATACAAAACAAGAATATGACAAAAAGTATTTGTATTTGTCTTTATAGAAAACATCGAATTATAAAACAAATAAGTCGAATAACAAATGGAATGTTTCGAATAACAATTGAATTATTTGGAATTACAAACGAAATTTTATGAATCACAAACGAAAATTTTTCGAAATTCATATAAAATGTCACGAATTACGTACGAAAATGGTTTAGATGGTAACTGCATAACACTGCACTTTTGACTCGACTGTAATATTGCTTTCGCATTCGTCTAACGTTTTTGGTTTTCATTTCCTCTTTTGTATTGTATTAAGGATCATTTTGTTTACTCCTTAATACAGAGAAAATAATTTATGTCAACGTCAAATGGAATTTTCAAAAATAATTAATTTATTGCAAATTTGTTTTGTTTTTTTTTTTACATTTTTGGGCATTCAACTCCACACCTTTTTCAGATGTAATTCAAAATATTCCATTTATAATTACAATCATTGGAATTGTGATTCAAAAATTCCAATTGTAGATCGAATTATTTTAGTTGTAGTTCGAGAATTTCAATTGTAATTTCGAATTATTCCATTTACCCATTTATAATGGAACAATTCGAATTACAGTCGGAATAATTTCAATTACAAATAGAATAATTCGAATAACAACTGAACTAATTCAAATTACAAGTAGAATTCTCGGATTACAAATCACAAATGGATTGCGAATTAAATTAAAAATTGTTCGAATTACAACTGAAAAAGGTGTAGACATACACACAGCTGATAAAAGTTACGAACTTTTGCTGACAAAACTTTTCCTAGTAAGAATTCGCAAACTTTTGGATTATCGAACTGCATCCAGCAATAATTTGTACAAATTGTTGGATTATAGTACGCACCTATTATTTAAATTGTACAAACGCCTGCAACTAATGCACTCTCGATCCTACATAATCCAACAAGCGTACAAAAGCATATTGGCGAGAATTTTCCAGAAAAAGTTATTCGTGATGGAATTCAAGCGTGATAGTGTGATTTCTTTATATTTGACTGGAAAACGACAAGTGGCTATCGTTAGAGCACTCCATTATTCAAAACTTTTGTGTCTCGTACCATCGCTCGTTACCGTGATACTGGCAGCGTAGCCCGACGTCAAGGAAGTGGATGGAAGAAAACAGCAACATCAGCAGAAATGGTTCGAAAAGTAAAGAAGCGACTTAATCGAAACCCGCGTTGCAGTAGCCTCGTCGAAAAATAGCTCGTGAGCTGACCATATCGCAATATTCCATTCACCATTAAATTCCAAAAAGTGCAAGAGCTTACACCGCAACTGAAAGAAAATAGACTCAAAAGAGCTAAAGAGTTGCTTCGCTTGGCCGATAGTGGTAAACTGCTGAATTTGGTTTTCTCCGATGAGAAAACATTCGTTGTCCAGAATTCGTTGTAAACAAACAAAATGATCGTGTTTACTTGCCAAAGAGGTCAGCTGAAAATGTGCACTTACGGTTGGCCACCAGAACTCAAGCGCCGGCCATGCCAGCCGATGGTCGCTCTCCGCTCATATTAATCGACAGTGGCATCAGAATAAATGCCGAATATTATCGCGAAAATATTTTGGATTGTGTATTAAAGCCTTGGGCACGCATTTCATTTCCAGCGCACAATGACCACCAAAATCTACGGATATCAATTCGTTAGACTATTGTGTCTGGAGTATTTTGAAAAGCAAGGTTGGCACTAAAAAATACCAAAGCGGTGAACACCTCAAGCAAGCGCTTCGCCGGGAATGGGCCAAAATACCGCAGATCAACACTCGGGCAGAGTGTGACGGTTTCATTGGCCGTTTGAAGGCCATAATTCATGCCAAAGGTGACCAATTTGAAAAAATCTTAACCTATTCTAAAATATGGTGCTCCTTCCGACATTTTTAGCTTTCATTTAATGAAATTTAAAAAAAAATGTAAAAATTATAGCGTTTGACCTTTTGGCAGTTTTCTATCTCACCCTGTACATAATAATATTTTAACGGTATTAATAAGAGAACATATATAAAACAAGTGCCCATCTCCTGCTTGACACCACTAAATCGTACAAGAAGAAGCATTCCAATTCGAGTTTTGAACATTTCTGATGAGTAGCAATTGCTCAAAAAAAAAACAATATCGATTTCATTTGTTCGATGATAATTGTCTTTGAGAAATGCCTTTATTTATCACAGGGTTGGCAGTTTCTGCCAGTGTTTTTAGGACTCAATTTTAAATTTTAGTGGTTATGAAGCAACAAGAAACGTGAGCTGAGAGTGCCGTATTTAGCCAACTTTTTCTGTTCTGTCTGAGTACGCATTGAACAAAATTGAAATTTTGTGAAAAAAAAAATAAAATAAAAAACACTAATTGTTGCATGTTTAAGACTGGCTCCGGAGTCTTATAGTGTCAAAAAGATTTTAAACATGGAACAAAAATTAAGACATTCATGGATAATATATTTTAGAATTTTTAGGTGAAAAATATTTTTCTTCTATGAATCATGAATTCAGTTTTGCGAAAAGCCCCCAATATTGAAAGGACATAATTCAAGTAGTGAGTTTAAGTAAATCATTTTCCGCAGTCGGAGACAAATTGTAACATTTTTTGGTCAATGCGTCTAAGATATGCAAGTTTCGAAATCACCCTTATATGGGCGATATACTAAACAGTGCATCCGTATTGAAAACATTTCGCATGAAGGGGTTCTAAAGTACTTAAAACCCTTACTGTTAAATTACAGCTCATTCGGTTGGAAATTTTGCTGAGACATCGGACATACCGAAAATTCGGAGGCACCGTTACATATAACGTTATCAACCAAGTAGTTTTTGAAGTCTCATGTATACACTCTAAATATTGTAAATTTTCTCATGGATGCAGATGAACCACCTTTTAATTTTTTACCAATCAAGAATGTACTCTGCACTTTATAGGGTCTTTGGCGAATATTCGAAATTGAGGAGTTCTCATAAAACATATGTATACGTCCTAAGAAATACAACGTCTTTGTCAAGTTTTACTTCATTTTTATCTAGCTCCAGAATTGTAATTCCAAACTTTATAGCGACTCGAATATCCCAAGAAATTTCCAAAAAAAAGCAGCACACTTACGATGAAACCAAAAAAAAATACAAAACTTCTCGGAGAGCCTTAATTTTTATGGAGAGTCAGACAAAGTTGTAACACAAAGCCAAGCTTGGGCCAACGAAAATGTTGTCTTTGTGTTTGTATGTGTGTGTGTGTACTTCAGCCAGTGTATTACAGTACATTGACGAGTTACAAGGTACAGCAACCAACCACCACTACCAACAAATCTACCCGCAACTGCTACTACCACCACGAACACCAAAGCAACTAGCTCTGTGGCCAAAGAAATCCAGTGAAGCGCTTAAAGCTGAGCATTTGTCTTGCAACAACAGGCCGTCTAAGACGCAACAAGTCACCGCACCAGCTCCAAAGTTCCAACATAAAGTACGAAACATTAACCAGCCGACAACCACTTTCCTGTAATTTGTTCACAAAACGGGTTGTAAGCGACAAGCGACGCGCAAATCAAAGTTTCGACTCGGAATTCAAACGATTCCAAACTCGGATTGAAAATCGCCCACAATAAAATTACATGCTTTAGACTTCGACATCAGTCGTTCAAAACAAACAAAAAAAAAACGCCAATAATCACAGCTAGTGGACGGACGTCTGGCTAAGGAAAAGCAAAGGAAACCTTTGACTTGCAGAACTTTTGTCGCCCATTTGATCTGCATTCCTTGGCAGAAACGGGCCATCGTGCTCTGGCAAAGTGACAAACAAACAAAGTGGCAAAGTGTGGTGGAAAGATAGGTGGTGATCGGTGATCAGCAGCTGTTGGTCAATTGGTCGCTCGATTGGAATTTAGTGTTAATTTCATAATCAAAGTACGCGCCCGACCGGTTGTTCGGACTGAAGTCTACCACTCTCGATCGGAATGCCAGTTGGCCTTTGAATGTTGGTTGGTTTGCTAAAAACAAAAAAGAAAAAAAAAACATAAAATAATAAATAAAATACAAAATAACCACAGCGAATAAAAACCCCATCATAAAAGACATCTAAAGAAGCAAGAAAAGAGCAATAGCAACAACAATAACAAAAACAAAAGCAAAAAACCAAGTGGAAATAGTTAAAGTTGATCCAGCATTGGGCCTGTGGTGGTAGTAAATAAAGTAACGACGCTCTGCGATTGTCGTGATCTCGTCTTGGCCTGAGCGTAGCTAGTCGGCTTTGCTTGAATTGCTGTCTGGCTGAATGGCTGGTTGGCCGTCTTGTTGTGTGACTCGTTAACGGATGCAGTAGCGGACTGTGTGTTTCAATGAAATCGCTTTTCGATATTTAAAAAGCTCATCATTTTGCCATTTCTCGTTCGGCTGCCAAAGAAATCGAAAGTGAGTGCCAGGCAAGCGCACCACAAAACCGAACTGCCAGACTAAACTATAACACAATCTGCCGACCGTCGCGCAGTGCATCTTGATACAGTGCAAAAAAATAATAAGAAGACAAAAAAAAAAAACAAAAAAAAAATCAAAAAAAATAAATAAAATTGCACACTCCAATACAAAATAAAAAGTCAATGTCTGAATCTGAATCGACGGCACCCATAACCCCTCCAACTCACCACCTCCAGTGAAACTACCAAAAACGATAAATATTTTTGCTGTTTGAAAAACATTTGACGTTCCGTTATTGACAATTGGCAATTGGCGATCGGCAATTTGCAATTGTCAAAGTGAAAGTACGAGCACGAGTACTTGAGGAGACCGCAGCAACCGCAGCAACGACAACGGCGTTGTTTCCTTTCCTTTCGTTGACACGAAGACGAGCAGCACTCACTAGTAGCACAGGTGATTCCGCAGCAGCAACTAGTTCCAGCCGCTAAACCTGCCGCGTAGACTACACTCCGAAAATGATTTTCAAAACGTAAGTGATTTCTATTTTCCCTCATTCCGCTTTTCATGTTCACAGCCATAGATTTTCTCCCAACCGTGATTGATTTGTTGCAATCGAGTGTGGAAACATCAAACATTGATTTCAGCTGCAGCTCGTCTGCATCTCCGCTATGGCCGAAGTGAAGGATGCATCTTCAGCGTGCAAACGGGGCTAGGGGTGGTCGACAAACCAAACATAACATTACCCAATGTTTGGACATGGGCATGGGGATGAGTCTGTGGTTTTTCCAGCCGCTTTAAAAGCACTCATCTGTTCAATTGAAGCAGCCACCATCACCACCACCATCATTCATTCATTCAGTCATGCCACACGGAATGGTGGCAGTGACGCATGGGTGTATCGCTTCAGGAAAACAATCTTCGGATGGTTGTAAAATCTTTTCCAAATGCCACCATCATTTCTTCTTCGCTTTGTCTTGTTTTTCGCTTGGCAGTTTTGTTTTTCCTTTCTTCTTGTTTGGCAGAGCGAAGAACCAAAACTAGTGCGACTCGTAATTAAATTATACCACTGGCAATTAAGCAACTTTGCCTGCTCCACCGCACTCAGCTGGGTAGCGTAACAAGCCCACATCTTCCAATGACATAACATCCGTCCCCGCCGTGAGTTGGTCTCGTTCCTATTTAGCTCCGTCAGGTCTTAAGCAAAACGAGCCAGCCACATGCCATCCATTCATCCATCCATCCGACGGACGGCCACCATTCATGGTGTTGTCTTATTACTCGGCTATTACCATGATTTTGAAGTTGTTTTTGGCATTGTTTTGTTTTTTTTTTTTTTTTTTTTTTTTTTGCTATGGAAATAATTCGGGCATTACACTTGTCATTATGATATGTTCACATTTGGCAGAAGGGGGGATTTTCCAACACCGGTGCTGTGGGTCTTTCTTATTTACACCCGAGTTATATCTGTGAGGGTTAATGGCAATAAAATTGCAGCAACAACAACGACAATTGCTTTTCATACGCAATTAACTTTAAATTGACACCACGCCCTCCCTTTACGAGTAAAGATATACCCACACAGGTGTCAAGATTTGCGAATGAAGATCAAATAGGACTCGAGAAGTGAGTAAAGGAGCAAATTTATACTCAAACATTTGGTAAAAAAAAATTAATAATCTCAATATTGAGGCATCAATGTTTCTAGGCACCAAGACCTTATTTTTCAAGTCGGCATTCGATTCACTGTTAGGGACCCAAAATAACTCATTCCTAGCCATTACGATAATATAAGTTACCTCAAATGTCTGTTTTGGAAAGAATATTCAGAGTAAGAATATTCACCTTTTTTTCGACTGGCAAGTAGTTGTAAACGTCAAAACATCCAACACCTATACAACGTACGTAAATACAATTAAATGTCATAAAGTGTTACTCTACTGTAATTTCCGATACGCAGTCGTTTTCTGGTTGGATTTAAGTGTATTTTTATAACTTGGCCGGTCAAAGTGGATTACTTTCCTAAATAAACTTTCGGTCCAGAACTTGACACCCAGTGTTGCAAACAAGCCCCGCTTATAATGGCGGAAAGCTTCCCATATTATCCTGCAACTTGACATAATGTTTTCTTCAATGTATACTTTAATGTATTGATATTGATTGAAATGCAGTGCACTTTTTGCTGTTATTTTTCTGCGATGCTGTTACCCCATCATTATCTCAAAATTATACTTTGGAAACAAATCTCATATTTGACAACAAAAAATGTTTAACGGCAAAGAAATAATTGCAACCATAACATTTTGTTGTTAGTGTTTTAAGGTTTTTACTTAAAAATGCATAGAAAAAACTAAATTCGATAAAGACAGAAAACGCCAAAGAATTCGCAATGCTTTCAATAGTCGTAACTTATTTAGAATGGATACTTGCGGAGATCTCCATTCGTTATTTAATCGCCTAAATCCCGTTCTGACTTTAATCAGATTAAACGTTGACGTCGAAAATGATGATAATCCCAAAAACGTATGTACAGTGTCATGACCTATAGCAAATATTAGATGGGAAAAGGGGGTTGTAGTAGGTGTATCGTTTTTTTTTGTGGACATGCAACTTAGAGGTGTTTATATCAGATGAAATGGGTTTTAATACCCTCCCAACATATTTCCGAAATTTATTTTAACATAAATCGGATTCCAAATCCTTCAAAAATTTAAATTTCTAAAATGAAGAATTAGATATTTAATGCAGCGAACGAAACAGATAACGTACCCCTCACACGAAGTCACAAACTTTAAAATTTTTGTTCAATCGATTTGTACTCCAAAACACAAAATAACGGACAGACGTGCCAATGCCAGAAGTACACAAACAATACGATTGTTTCAATGTACTTCGGTTGTTAGTTGCCGAACTGTATCGTTTGCGAACGAATCGCTAGGAAACGTTTCCAATCGTTTGTGTGCGAAATGATGACAGCTATAATTAGAGTTGTCATTTTAAATTTTGTTGTCGATCCTTTTTCCATTGAATAATGGATACAATGAATAATATAGCATGGTTTTGAGTGAATATTAGTTTCTACTTTTTTTTGTAATAAGTTCATATACAGGGAAACGTTTGCAAACGTTTCCAATGAGTTTTGTATTGTTTCGTTTACAATGTTGCGTCATCCAGCTGAGTACATTTCAATTTTGTTTCTGTTTCCACTCATGTTCGCAAACAGTATAAAATAAAAAAAACAAGTCCCCTCATCTTAATATTGCTTTTGTAACGCTTCGTACTTCGGGAAAATACAGAACGAAACGATTGCAAACGTTTGATGTAGTTCATTTTCGTACGCTGATTGATGGCAATGCTGAATGTATATTATCTGAAAATCTATATATATAAAAGAAAGTTGTGTTAGTTACTACGCTTATAACTTAAGAACCGCTGGACTGATTTTAACGATCCATACAAATTCGGAATTGTCTCCTCTCCGAAAAGGATAATATCCAAAAAAATCGCGTAAAAATGTGATATATTAACATTTTCATTTTGACTTTTGAAATGTACAATAGTAATGTTTTATTTTGCATGATTTTTTTCTATTTTGACTTACTTTTTTCTAATGTACATTTGTAGTGTTTTTTATATTTTATTTTTGAATTCAAATATTAATACCAATTTATTTAATTGACTTGATTTCTTGAGAAATGAAATTGATGTCGAGTTACATGGAAGTGTAGTACCGAATTATGTGGTGGCGAAACGGAATAGATGATGTCGAAATAATTTAATGGAATCGAATTTTAAAATAGAAGTACATTCTATTGATAAACTATATACGGATCTTTAAACATTTGCTGCATTTGCTTTGCATCAGCGAACAAGTTAAAGATTTTTTCAATGTGTTATTCTTCTTTTGTCAATTTTTTTTCAATTTGTATTATCTAATTGAATTCAGTAAATTTTTTATGAACAAAATAAAGAATAATTTTTCACTATATACAAATTTTCACCAAAAAATGAAATAAGTGGGAAATACGATGTTAACTGACTCTACCTTTCAACTCCAGGGCCGACATCGTGTTTCAGCTGGAAGATGCGAACACATTTGAACAAACAAAAATTACCTAAGAAGCCTAATGGGCCTCATTTCAAAGCGTGGAACTACATCTTTCCTGTCACAATAATCCGTCCAATGTACAATCAGAAAAATACCGAATATAAGGGTGGAAAATAGTAGAGCGAATGGGACTCTTAGTAAGAAAAGGATTTCTATCCTTCCAGAAATTCTTCCCAAACATTCAAGATACCTTAAATCGCTTTTGCAGGTCATAATATCGATCATAACTGACGGATTTCATATTTATATAATCATCGTATGATTTAAGCTATTTTTGGTGTCTTGGTCACTTTTTTAATATTTTGTCCATTATTTGGCATCTTTGTTTCTAAGGAGGTAGAGAACCTCTTCGCATAAAGTTTGAAATTTTCAGAGTAGGGCCCATTTAGGTCTTGACCACATTCATTAATTGACTTGGCTAAAGGTTGTATTTATGCTACCCTGGGGTAGGGAACCATCATACAGATAATTGCCACATAGGAATTTATTTAAGTAAAGTCCCCACCTTGGAGTATCCCCAAGTCTACTTTCACATCTAATTGGTGGTCAGAAAAAAAAATGTTGTTTTCTATTGAATTTGTAACCCCCAAGAGAATATTGGTTGGGCCACGTTTTGGTATAACCCTTATATAAATGTATCCCTGACCTGACAGCTGTAACCGTGGTCTTGGCCCTGTTTTTCAACTGATTTGGCCATTATTTGCTGTATTTAGGCTACTTTGTGAGTAGAGAACTATCTTACAGAAAAATGTCAACATACGTAAATATTTTGGTACAGTCCCCATTTGGGGACTTTAATGCGCAACTTGAGGTGCTATGGTAATGGGTGTAAAAGCGTAATTAACTTTAACTATTCAGAAATTATTTTGCCCTCCTTCAAAAGTAATTTATTTCTATTTGGTCGAATCAATATTTATATTAAAATTTGTTCACCGTTATGAGCTAGATTTGTGAAATATTATGCTATGCAAAATTTGCATTAAAGACTAAAACTACGGGCCGGCAACGCGGACCGGGCCAGCTAGTAATTAAAATATTTAAACTATTGCCAACATTTTCACATCGGCCACAAAGCAGATCATTTAGCTGTTGATGCAGCTGATAATACTGTAAACATTTATAAACTCTAAATATCTCAACTGCCAAAATTGCTCTCATCACTCGGTCTCACTGGCTGGACTTTGGGGCTATCGAACAATGTTTTTTAGTAATTTGTACAAAAATCAATGCAAGTTATTGGATTATCGTGCACACCTATTCGTGTTGCCTCAATTCAAAAACAAATAAATCAAGAAATCGGAAATTTAGGTGTTCCTAAGGATTTCTAAGGTAAATTAAATTCCTAAAAATAAAACAGTGTTACATCCAAATCGCTTTAAATTATTATATAGCGTACCATGGTAATCTGTACCGTACGATGTGCA